GAATTGTTTAGAAATCTTTCCTTAATTGCTTATATAAGTCATAGAACTTACATACCATTTCATGTTATGTAAAAGTTTCGACTCTATTCTGATCAATCAATCAATATTATGTAGTAAAAATTTTTGAAACATCACAAAATTTTGATTTTTATTTACAAAACTAGCTCACCTTGACCAGATATTATCCGTATATTTTTTTCTTAACCAATTACAATAAAACAAACACAAACTTTTAAGTCAGATTTATCATATACGTTCTATATACAGAACATCAGCGATCAGTTATAATTATTTTATTTTGATGATTTATTTACTTGATCACATACATTTTCTTGCTTAATTTTTTAAAATATTCGTCTATTTGGTCGCCATTGATATTCCTAAATTACAATACGCATTTGTATACCTATCATAATTGATATTATTTAGGTGCAAATACCCATTACTTACAACAAATTTTGCTTTCTACAATAACATACACAGAATGGAACATAGAACGTCCTCCTTTTTTGACATCGGTTAAAAATAAAGAAGAACAGACCTACTTCAGTTGCTTCTTAAGAAATATAAGAAACGTTTGTTGAGATACATAGATACAATGGATACCTAGTAATAGAAGGGCGTAGGTATTTACTGTAAACAGTAGCACATTATGACTGTGTGATCTAATCGAGCAAACTGTGACAAGTTTGTATTTCCATGGATATGTTTAACTATCATCACACGAGTGGTAATTGTGAAATATTGAACAAACCTCGATAAACGTTTATGTGGTTTTTAATTTAACATCTGTCGTTTTATATAACTACTTAAGACGATACTTGTTAAATTAAAAACCGTCCGTATTATAATTTAGGAATAGCATTAGCGAACAAACTGACGAACATTTTAAAAAACTAATCAAGAAATTGTATTTGCTCAAGATAACAAGTTTTAAATAACTACTTAAAACTTCTATTTTTAATTCCTTATTTTCTGAATGTTTGAGTTTATGCATAATAATTGCGTGGTTTGTCAATATACCTACAATATTATTTTGGACCTGTAAAACTACATAGTTTTACAGGTCCACTACAGGTACACCTTATTTATATATATATACCTAATATATATATTCTATGTCACAATTACAGTGGGTACATACCCACTGTAATTGTGACATAGTAAATTAGGTCCAAACTATCATAATTAGTATACGGAGACAATCTAATTGACATCTAACTTCTTAATCCTTTAGAAAAAATGATATTATTTCTCTCAAAAAATTACCATACGATCGTTATCCGTTATAGTTGTGTTGGAGTTGTTACATTGAAAGGATTACTCGTTTCAAGTTCATTCAACGATATCCACAAGGTTCTCCGCAGATTTTCCCGTCCATCCGATGCCAACCGGTATGAGCCGGACAGTACCGGATTAGTACTTGTAATATTATTTTTGCATGATCGTAATGTTGATGCAACATTTCTTTGATATATGATATACCTAATCAGTAATCAGTTAAGCTTTTGAAAGATATAATTAGAAAAGAACGTATTAAATTAGTCTGATCCGAAATTGAAAGCTAACACTTATTACGAAAATAGTTACAAAACTACTATATTAGTTAGTATTTTACGACTATGAACAGAAGAAACTAGTTACAAGGTAACCTTTAGATGCATGCGAGGTGATGGAATCGAAACTGCGTATCGAATAGATATTCGATATAATTGTTAGATTGAATTCACAGTATATCTTCATTCTGACATATACCAATAGTCGCCCCGTGGTCCAAGTTCATAATTCATTTAAATTTTCAAATGTTATATTAAAAACTATATGTGTAGCATATGTGTTTATCACACGCATCGTTTTTTTTTTCACGTAATTCGACGTCCCACCGGTGGTAAGTGGTATCCGCCGCCTATATACATACTTGAACAACATTACGATGTCATGTGTCACCCGTGAACCCCACTTATTCATTGCCATTCCGGAAGACTGAGATGTTATGATTTTATCTACGAGTGCCTAATCTGTATACTACAACGGCAACAGCTTACAATGCTAGCTTGGCCGCTGAAATACCATCCCGATCATTTGGCTCTTTCATCACGTGTTTTTTCAGCAACTTTTTGCCATGCACACATTGTGGAAGCACCTTCCAGCAAAGGAATTTTAGATCCGATACCATATTGAAACTTTTGAGAAGAGCTTATTGCTTCTTAAAAAGCCGTCAACGCCCCCTGGTATTGCGGGTGCTCATGTACGGCAGTAGTCACTTACTATCGGGTAAGCCGTAGGCTCACTTGTTCCTTATACTATAAAAAAATGAGACTGAGGTCTATCATTGGAAACAATATATTTTTTTAATGATTTAGTGTATTTATTAAGTTTAATTAATAAACATATATTAACAGGCAGTTCTTCTTCTCCATAAATGCATTAACTGTACTAAATATCATACGCCGCGTAAATTTCGCACGCTTAACCTATTAAAATGTAGATTGGCTTAACCGCTACGCAATACCATAAAGACATAAATAGCGAACCACATGACTCTAGTTTTTTATGCGAAACAGTATGGTAATTAATGATGACAAATCTGCGCCTCAGCGAGCACACGTTGCGTCTGCAATACAACAACCGGTCGGAACCGGTGAAAACTACGAAAGCCTTCGCCGATGACTAAACTACCGCTTTGCTACAGTCTGCGCGCTGTGACATGGTTGGTGGCAGTTGGCAATTTTGGCACTTTTAACTAGTCGAAGAATTAAAACTTATACTACTTTTAACTAGTAGAATAGTCATAATTGCCAATTGGTCGTTTTATTGAATGTTGGCTGTAGCAATAAAATCTTATATTATATTGTTACTATAATATATTGTAGGTAAAAATAATTTTGAAAACACACACAAAATAGAATAAAAACATAAATTATAAGAAAATATCTTCTGTGAGAATAATGTTATAACTATATATATACGTGTAGAATAGTCAGTATACATTTAAAAGTTCTACAATTTAGCATAGAAAAATTATAAACGTGTGTGGAATTGTTATTCTACAACTTTACTTATTTATATGCTAATATCCGCACCATGCTATGACGTGCGAAGTACAACTTTGCAAAGCTTTGACCTCATGTTGGACAAACCTGTTTGCGTATCACATAAGGGCCACTAGTATACTTATCACTATGTGGCAGTCCAAACTTGTTTGTAAACAGATATATCCAGGGATAATCCATGGCTATTTACATACCAATGGTACCGATAATTGAAAATACTGTCTTCACACTGGTTTCTATACTATACCTCAATACAAATAAGTAAATTTATGTATTTGTTTGACAGAAGAAATTTATTTACAGCTTTTATTAGATACATATGAAAGTATATACGGTACTATATTTAAAGTTATATGTTTATAAGTAAATATGTCAGTCTGTCGGTGAAAAGCCGTTAGTGTCGCCAGCACGCCAATACACTATAACAATACAATAGAAAGTAATAAATTCGACCGGATCATCGATATTTCAAATAATATTTTTCTTTTCTATTATTTGTAATAAACCTATATGTGAATATTGTTAATTGTTTTATGAATTTATTTCTTATCACACAAAATTGTCACTGTGTATATTTATATAAATAAATTGCAATATAAAAACAGTCTAAAACAATACATTATTGGATACAAATTGAACAAATTTTTTTTAGTCCTGCTTCGTAATTTTCAAGCAAGAATTTTAGTTATCTACACTTCCGCATTATAATTTTATTTTTTTCTCAGAGCGTATAGTGGGAAACCTATACGGGCACAGATTTAATTAGATTTCGGTAAAAATTTTAAGAATCCCTTGAATGAAGGTTTTAAATGGTTTACGGTTGTAAATAAAGAGGATGAGAGGCGAATAGATGGAAGGACTGTGTGAATAACGACATGTGTAAAAGAAGAGTAAAATTTTTGCTATGACGGCTGATAGAGATCGGTAAAGGAAGACGATATATTGCACTTATCTCAAATAATAAAGCGAAGACAAGAATCGTGTTTCGTGTTGTATGTTGCATTGTCGGTGTGCTCCGATTATAAACAGAAAATAAGAATGTTTTCTAGTATAGGACTGAAGGGATGAAATGGGGATGAATATATAACAGACAACTGACATTGTAGTATTTGTAGTGCATCGGTAATTTGGTTACATACACTCTAGTCCTCAGTAAATTCTATATATCATAATGGTGTGCCGTCAGTTTGTTTGCCTTTCGAGTCATATAAAAAATCTATTTAAATCCTTGTGTGTGATAAATTATGATCTTCCACTAGAATGTACATGACGCATTATTTATATCAGTATCCGTACCGATTTTATTTCCATCGTTTACATTTCTCAGTAACTGTAATATTCAAGGATAAAAACCATGGATACATTAGTTACATTCGCATAATCCATCTTCAATAAAATAATTCAACTATTTAAAGACCATAATATTAGATATAGAAGCAATGTAATATTATATATATATTTTATTAACTTTGTAGCTAATTCTTAATTTGCTCTTATCTATACATATAAATATAATTGGAGTGTCTGTTTGTAATATTGAAATAACCGTTTTTTACTACATGCATATAAATATAAATACACCAAATTAACATTTTTTACAATTTTTGTCTGTTTATTCCGGCTAATCTCTCAAATGGCTGGACCGATTTTGATGGGACATTTTTTTGGCTGGTAGCTGATGATTATAATAAGGAGTAACTTAGGCTACTTTTATTTTAGAAAAATAAAGGTAAATTCCACGCGGATGAAGTCGCGAGAACATCTAATGTGCTATATTAGTGTTTATATTACTATGTATATTAAGTATACTTTGTGGCTTTAGCTAATTAGAATGGTAATAGAAATTACCACGATCAATAACCATTTTCTTTATAATAGTAGTTCATTTTAATTTAAGGCAGTAGGTACCTTCTTACTGTTTAACCGTATTTATTATTATTGTTACAGGAAAATAGAAGAAAATTTGTGAAAATTATGTGGTTAAGAACGACAACTTCTAATAGAAATCTGCATAATATTGTGGAACTTATAAGTAAAGTCAACCCGTACAAAACCAGTCTTCGGTAGTCCATCGACTTGCAACAATCATGGAAGGAAGGTAAGTTATGTACTTGGTAACTAGTTTTTGGAATTGAAGCCAGTAGTTCCCCGATAGATGATGCAATATATCCCGAGAATGACGGTGATAAATTCGAATTGCGGAATTGTTAATGAACTAGCCCCCAAATAAAAAATAAACTTTAATAAATTATAGCTATAAACCATCTCGATGACGTCGCTTTCGAACAAAAAAGCATCATAATCCGATAACTTGTTTAGGAACTATGTTGCTTCAGACAGACACTAGGATTCGACAAACTTATAACGCACCTCGTTTTACGTTGGGGGTTAAAATCATTGCTTCTAATGTAACCAACCTACTGTTCATATCAAGTAACTAACAGGCATCCATTATATTATCATTGTAAAGAATCAAATAACTCATATTTGTATAGTTTCTTTTTCATGCCTAATAAGTATTGAATAGTTGATCTAATTTATGAGGTAAATATAGCGAAAGATAGTCTTGTTAAAGAACTGGTAAATTATTGCAGATTCAAAGTATCGTCTGTAGATTCAGAATGTAAAAAGAATGGTATACATATGGGGGCGAATATCATAACGCGGCCACTAAGGAATTCAGCGGAGACAGCTGAACGTGGTGTGTCCCCTAATGCTCAACCTGATACTTGGCTTCATGATGCCGGCTGGCGAAGAAAGAGATCACTTGCGCAGCTCACAAGAGAAGCTTTACCCAGAATGGAAAACTACAGAAATTCCAAAAGAGCGCTGAAAAGGCCTAGTCTTGGAGAGTTGCATGGAGACCATCTTATTACGGAAGAGGTAAGACAAACAACTCATGTAGTAACAATAGTTTATAAAAGTGATCACTAAAATTAGTCTCAGTCTTAACTAAAGATGGCGACAAAGTTTAAAATTTGTACTAGGTCCTTTTCACAGTAATTTTCATATAATTGTATATTATTCTGATAAATTTATCATTCACATCTTAAAATTCTGACGTAAACTACATTAATGTACAGCATTGGGGTGGCCGACTTGACGTTAACCTTACTTATACATTTTATTATTTATCTACCTGCTTCATATTTCATGCACCTCTATGTTAAACCAACCTGGAAGACTAGTCCTCGGAAAACAAATAAATCTAAATGCGAAATAAGTAGTACATAGGTATATAAATAGATAAAGAAGGTAAATTAGGATCGTAAGTATAAAACGGGTATATTTTTCGAATAATTACATAGTAATATTTGATCACTTTAATCATTAAAAAATAGTAAATAGGTCTATTATACAAAACTCATTAACAACCTGATGACTGACAAGTCTTATGACCGAAGATCACAATGCCTGTTATTAAAATGTCGTTAAACGACAAATTCTATTTACAGTTCTTGAAAAATGATATATTTGGCCATCTCAATGAAGGTTTTATGGCTATTTGTTCGGCTGATCACAGTAGTTAGGCAAATAATATAACCATGAAAATAAACAAAATAGGTATTATTAAATAATTATAGTACTATCAGCACATATATAATAACAATCGTATTTTAATAGTCGACGACAAAAGGCTAAAACGATGAAAATGATTGTGTCAATGTGGGATCCATTGCAATAATTTATTTACAATTGTGTCTAATCACTATAGTTTTATAGTGAAATTGTTATTTCCATTTATGATGTTATGTATTGAAAATATTTAGTAAACACTGATACTAAAAATTCAACGCAATTAGAATTGAAACATAAATTTCGTCAACTTCATTTTTATATAAAATTATAGAGTAATTCACCTTTACGAGTTAGATAGATACTTAAAATTCCAGATGACTTTATTCCTTCCAGATAATCTTGTGTAACTTGTGATATTGAAAATATACGGAAATCCTAATGATTATTAATTTATTATATTTACTTAAATAGCAGTTCCCTGTCTCACATTGTTTGCTAAGATTGTTATAATTCATAAATATTTATATATTTTTATTTATTTCTGTTTATATAAATAGCGTATAATATCTATTTATGTAGCTGTGTTTTATTACAAAACAGAATCCAGTATTTTGGAAACAACGTGTTATATATTACAATAGATCCTTTTAAATTCAATTTTAAATATATCAGCTCTATTTATGTATCTGTCACTTATTTGCAGAGCATGCGTTAAATGAGTTGTTACTGACAAGTGGTTGGACAAACGATAATTTATTTTATTGCATACAAAACAAACACAACGATAGAGAGATAACAGATAAACATTTACATGTATGTAACTTCTTAGGTTAACCAAGCGAAGTGTTTTATTAAATTGTAAAACTCTACAAAAATAAAGTACTTTCAAATTTACAATGTATTACAAATTGTAATTTATTTCTTGTTAATTCTTCTAAATTAATCTTATAAATTTTACTAACGTGAATTGTAAACGTTGGTTAGAATGAAGGGTTGGAAGGTTGTTGCTCGTTCAGGCATACTGAATGATTTTGATAAAACTTTACAGCAAGTTATATACTTATTACAAGAACACATAGACTATAATTTAACAAAATATTATGTAAATTAGGTGAAGTATAATAATAATTCTCCAGTAATTATAAAAGTTATCGATCTTCAATCTATAATGGCATGCCCTGTATAAAGATAAAATTTGTTATATTTGTTTGTTTGTTTCTCTTAAATAAGTCTAAAAAAAGGACGCAAAACTGGACAAGTAAATTACGATGATGAGTAGCGCGATATTTACTATGCCACCGATGCACCGATAGATAGATAAAATCTTTATTCATATCCACAACAAAAAATATGAAAAGTATTGGGTACATAGTTTTATAAATACTATAGTCTAAAAAATCTCCAGCCAAGTAAGTCATACGGAGAGCAAGGACGCTTCAGTCAATTATAATATCTTTAGCCTATCAATTGGATTATGAGGATATACATAGGCTGTCTTTTATATATATATATATATCTAAATCGCGGGAAACATTCTATAACACATATTTGTACGCAAAAAATGCCTCCTTTTGAACGATGTTGTTTAACCGATATTTGAATAATACACGTAGTTACGAGTATGTCGTATGGTGACGTGAAGAGAGCCCACTGGAGTATACCAGTGTGAGCTGGTCTAAACTGGCGCATATGCCTACATTGTTTTCCTCTCTACAATGTCTATTGGAAAATTTATTTTATATATCTCTTATCATACATGTCTCACATTCCACGGCGGAAGTGTACATCTAAATCTGTCTGTCTCTTCGCTGTCTGCGTCTGATTGTTTCTCAGCTAACTTCTTCTACACATTTGGTATAAGTTACACTGACATTAGATATTTTTGCGAAAGTTTTGTATGCACAATATATTAAATATTATATCAGTATTTCGTGTGTTAGTAGTTGGCGGGACAACAAGCAGGCGGGACATTCCCCGTGCCCCGCCTGCTTGTTGATAAGTTCCTAAAGTTGTTGAGCACTTGCGCACATAAATTATATCAATTACTAAACGTTTTATATTCCCATAGGACAACAGATGACACAGTACTTGTCACGAAGAATTTGGCAAAATATAATTTACACAAACAAAAAAAGAGCATTGACAGATCTTGTTTTATTTCAAGTAAACCGGGATTTAGAAATATATTGCAATTGCATCTATGAACTTCCTGCTACATTTTTGAGATCATTAGTTCATTTTGTGAATATTAGTAATACTCAGACATATTTTTCCATGTACGGTGACCCACCTTACCGTTCAGGAATATTCCTTCTCAATTGGTTATTGGGTATCGGATCCTGCGAATTGTATCGGTCATTGATCCTACGAATTATATCCGTCACATACATTCTCCTGCTACTCACTACCCACTTCTATTATTTTATAGCCGCTCAGAATATCACGCTGAGAAAATCCCAGCATAGTTCTTTCGATATTTTCCTCCTTTCATTCTCAATAGCTTACTTATTGCTTATAGTTATTAATGCTTATGTTCTTTAATTTTATAAATTGTTTGCCTCGAATATTAAAAATTGTGTTTAAAAAAATGCAACTTTATATTTCAAAAACAATTTGTGAATGTGTAACAAAAGTTACAATTCAATTGGGAAACATTTTCAAGGTAAACTGAATAGATAGCTTACGGAATCAGGTGCGTACGTACCTGATTCGTCACTGTCTGGTATATAAAAATTTACATTAGGGGCAAACAGACGGCCAGGTGACCTCCATCATTTCACATAAACAATGCCAGCTGTCATTCATCTCTTTAAACCGTACATAGTCGCACTATGTACCTTCGGTTTACATTATTTTGTTTACAGACCATTTACGAGCCTACACCGACATATTTACTAGAAATTATATCAACGGCAATGAATGTTTACAATTTCGATGTAAATAAACGCTTCAATGTAGCTTGAAATCCCCATAAAATTTAGTGGTTGTATAATTTGCTTTTTCAAGTTGCGAATAAACGGAGAGACGTCCAAAGCAAATATTTATATGAATAAAATAGAATTTCGTTTTGGATAAAGGACCTAGCACATCAAAGTTATATTTTTGTTATAAAAAACCTTGAAAGCGTAAAGTACGATAACGTTGTCATTTCTAACCAATAATATAATTTCAGGACGAGAAAAATCAAAGGGACACCAAATCGCCGACTCCCACTGTGGGCATTAAATTAGGATGGATTCAAGTAAGTAGGATAACAATATAGACTACATACATAAAAAAACTACTTTTACCGGTAACAAACATGGCTAGATTATTTTTTTACTGCTTCATCATTCAGTGTATTGTATGAAAAAGTCGGAAGGTATGCAATTTTTTTGGTCTATGCTTAAGTTCTATGGAACTAATAAAAAAGAACTTTCCAAAACGATTTCTTAAATGATCGAGTTAAGAAGTAAAAACAATTTAACTCATTTTGAAATAATCAAATTAAATAATATAAGGAACCTCTTTTCTTGAAATTGATTACAGTAAATAAAGCTACTTATTAACTTATATTAGTGAAAGTGTAATTAATAAAAAAAAAGAATTATTTTAAGTCAACTATATGTTGTAGGGCGTCCTTATACCATGTCTCCTGAACATTTGGGGGGTGATGCTCTTTCTGCGGATCTCTTGGGTGGTGTCGCAAGCTGGCATCGGATTGTCATTAGTTATCATCGCCATATCAGCTGTGGTGTGTGTTATAACAACATTGTCAATGAGCGCCATATGCACAAATGGGGAAGTTAAAGGAGGTAAGATCTCTACATAAATACATAGTGTCTTTAAATCTCACTTATATGTATTAAGAGTAGGTGCATATTATTTAAAGCGTAAAGCTTTGTCCGTTTGTTTTGTATGGTCTGTACATTTTGATATTAACATATTGATGGAAAAAAAATGTATGCTAATAAAAAGAGAGAGAAAAAGCGAATTTTCTTATGGGCACTATAAACATTGGCATCAATTTGAGAAAATCGTTCTCTGTGAAAAATATACTATTTTAGAGATCAAGATGTTACTATATATATCACTCACATACTTATGAACATCCGAAGGTGAGCTGAGTATAATTATAGTATACAAGTAATAATATAGAATAATTGGCAATTTTACAATGTTTGATATAATTTTCTTTTTCTAGGTGGTATATACTATATCATATCAAGATCGCTGGGACCGGAATTCGGAGCCTCTGTCGGCATAATTTTTGCATTTGCCAATGCTGTAGCGGCTAGCATGAACACTATCGGTTTCTGTGACTCTCTAAATGATCTGCTAAAGAGTAATGGCTTGAAGATCATTGACAATGGAACTAACGATGTCAGGCTGGTGGGCGCCATAGCGCTTGTCGTTATGTGCATTATTTGTGCTGTTGGTATGGATTGGGAGAGTAAAGCACAGGTTTGTAGATTTTATACATTTTTAAACTAAAACTAAACCTTCCTTTAAAAACATTTTTACTAATCCAGTGATTTGAGATTTCGAGTTGCTTTTATGATGAATTACGTCTATGAAATGCCGTACACATAGAATTATTATAAAATGTGTATCATAGCGAATTTATCAGAAACTTAATCATGATAGTTCCCAAGATGCCGCGTGTTTATTGGAATTTAGAAAATAGGTAAAAAGGAAAATATAAACCAGTGCAGTGACTAATTGGTTCATTCGACATTTTTATAAGGGGGTATCTTAATTTATCTGTGTAGTACATTTTAAAATCTTAAATGTTTTTGATTTCTAAGTTGGTGGATCTTTTACTGTAATTGATATTTAAAACCTGCTTCTAATCTATTCTACGCATCATTGTCTTTTCACATTCACTCGAGTATATTTCTAAACACAGAAGTCATTTCGTTACTCTGGTTTCATTTTCATTTCTTATTTACTAACAAGATATTAAAATTGGTACTGCTTTATTTCTGTATTATAAATTAGCTTCTTCTATATACGGTTTCCTTCTCAACCATTTTCAAAACTTAAACATCTATTCCTAAACCTTGGCTGGTTTTATTCTTGATTGGATCAAGAATAAAACTGGCTACAACGTTTACTCTAAGTCACATGCATTTTACTTCAGAGGTTGAAAGTTGATGACTGATATAGTATAGAAACATCTATATTTGTATCAATGCATGAGTCGGTCACCAGTAAACGAGGTATAGGAATGACAGGGTTGGGCGGCACCTACCATATCCACAATGAGGGTTGCTACCTTCGACATCAAGATATCATATATATTAGAAATATGTAAATATCATTATATATGTAAATTTACTTTATTTAAAAGAAATAAAGCTTGATAATTATACTTGTTTAGTCAACTCTTTCCTTGTTTAATATTGTCTTTGACGTGAAGCCTATATAAAGATCAGTAATTAAAAACAGTGTATTGACTTAAAGTGTGTAAATATACTGTACTATAGCAAGCAAACATAATTCAGTATTGAACTAAATTGAATGACTTTTATATAAATTGTATTGTATTTCTATCTGTAAATATATTTGCACTCTACATGCAGTGTTTCGCGACAGAATTACGTAATCTTCCCTTAATACTTTTATGATTATGGCAACCCTACCTCACGGTGACCTCACATCCAGTAAACAAACCGCCCTCGACGTTTGAAGTCCTTCAACGTAAATGCAATCAATAGCTTCGTACGCAAATACCGAACGTTGGCAACGGTTCTCTAAATTTAGGAATGGACCCTTAAAAGAAGTTTAAGTTAGTAAACATATGTTCAATAATACTATACCATAAGTTACCACTGAAGTTCGATTACGAATAGACGAGACGCTGCGCAATACTAAGAAACAACATTCAAAATAAATTTGAACAACATTTATGTCTATTAATTTTATACTTCCAAAGAAATTTGGCACACACATAAACCATGACTGTTCTGGATATGTTTTATTTTAAGACTCTTTTATCGCAGCAATTGCGTTTTCATTGGGTAACTTATGATCGAATTCTGCGGAGATGGTAAAAAGATACATTAGGTTTTTTTTTCTAATAAATTCACATCCATACTATCAACAAACTTTTATTCCAATTCATTACCAATTCACACGATTCACATCCAAATTATATTAGCAGAAGATAACTACGAACTACATGAAAACGCAGTAAACGGGCGAAATATTAAAGTTATTCAAAGAGTTTTTGCGTGAATGAGGTTTTATATTCTTATTAATAATTTATAACTTTACCACTTGTAGAACCTGGACAAAAATAATTAATTACAAATTATTCTTTTTAATATCTAGTTTATTTCATTCATTATTTGACTTAGGTACTACGTACTACAATGTAGGTAGTAGTAGATTTGACTTATCGTGAATATATTAGACTTACATGAATAAAGATATTTCTGATTTAATATTTATAAGACTACGTCAAGTAGACAATTGATATATTATAGGAAATAATTTTTAATGTAGAAAAAACGCGTACAATATAATAACATAATTATACAGGTAGTTTTATTCGCGCCTTCTTCAGAAGCAAATAAATGAAGGTGTATGTATAATATAACCAGCAAAATTACGGAAAATATAACTATGCTATAACACAAAGCTAATTAGTTTTCGCTATACTGATTAACTTGATTACATTAATATACCCTGCAAAAGCGTTGGTACCGGAATTATCCATGTACGTTAATCACTTTAACTTCACACGACTGCTCTTTAGCAAATTACTTTTTAACTATTCCACATAGACATGATGATATTTCTTTTTCTGTTTGCTATGTATATTGTAAGTAATTATAAGACAGAAAAACAACTATTTGTCATACCATCATCATGTTTCGTATATCATCATATACATTTATAGACCTACCTACCTTTAAAAAATTAAAAGTAGTCTTCTTAAATGCGTGAATATGAAACAGTGCACCCGCCTGCATATTAAAAAATGATAACATAAGGCATGTCAATTAGCCCATCGTGACAAATGTCAAAGGAACCACGATGGTTTCCAGTGGGTACCAGTGGAGTACATCGCTAAAAATGCGACCATTTTTAACCATTACTAACGTTTCTTTATAATTGTTACACAAAATTAAAGCTAAGAATGAAATCTTAAGCATATGGTATTTGGTAAATACTTGCTAATTAGGCATCAAGAAATTATTATTTAAGCGGTTTTTATATATTTTGTATTTTTTCCAGAATTTTCTAATTGCAATAATAATCGGAGCAATGGTCGATTTTATAGTAGGGACTATAATTGGACCAAAGAGCACTGAAGAGATATCGCAAGGATTTGTAGGTTTTAGTAGTAAGTACTCATTGTATTATTAAGTAATATCATTAATTATTTAACATATATTAAAGACATACGTATTTTCTACGTATATTAATAAAATATAGCAATATTTATAAAGGAAACCCCTGTGTGCTTGATACCTTAGCATGATATTTTTCTATTTATTTAACAGGTACAATTTTCTCGGAAAACTTTGGGGCAGATTTTCGGTACAGCGAAGGACTGAATCAAGATTTCTTCAGCGTATTTGCCATATTCTTTCCTTCAGTGACGGGGATTCAAGCTGGCGCTAATATTTCTGGAGATCTAAAGGTTAGTACACTTTCTTGGATGAATGACACGAGAAACTAGTCTATAATGAACCGATTTATTTTCCTTTCTTAAAATGTCTATATATAAAAAAAAATAATCACTGCAGAAATTCAACATTTGCTATTTTGGGTATTTGGAAAAATCTGTCGTTGTCTTGGAAGTGTGGTCTCTATGTGGAATTTTTCAATGTTTTCAATATCTTAATAATATCTTAATAATAGTATATCTTACATAAGTGCGCAATTTAAGTGACCTGTGTATGATATATAAGCTATATCGAGTTAATAAAAGCGTCAGTAGCCAGACGATTGCACACGAATGACGTCAAGTTTCCTTAATTAACAGGGCGCGGGTGTCAGCCCCCTTAACTCGACATTATTATTCCCCCCACACAGACGTAGTCACCAATTCTAAGATACCTAATTATATAAGTAGTATAAACATATTAGGCTTGATTGAATGATTATTAAAACTTTTCTTTATTTCCTTTATTAACTGTGACCGCGGTTTCACCCGCGTTAAATTGCAATATAAAATATAGCCTATGTGTTATTCTGATGCATAAGCTATATTACTGTAAAGTTTCATCAAAATCCGTTCAGTAGGTTTCGTGAAAAAGTAACAAACATTTAAATTTACAAACTTTCGCGTTTATAATATTATTAAGATTAAGATACCTTTCTAAACCAGCGATGAAGCCAACATTATCTATTTGTCTGAAAATGCCTGAATTAATTTCCACAAAATATTTTTTATAAATATGAATAAAAAAACAGGATATAAAGAAAGTTGAGAAAAATATCGCCAAAAGCGTGCAATCAAGAATTTATTGCAAATTTTCAACACACTCTCCTTAAATTTTATCAACTAATGAATCAAATAATAAATAGCGTCGCGCCATGTAGATGCGTTATTTATCGCTGTCGTTTGACCATCAAGAATTAGCGATCTCCAAATGTAGATAGGTACGAGGGCGTAGGCACCAATAGTTAGTTAAGAAGCTTAAGCACGTGTTGAACATAGCAATTATTCAACAATATCAGTCAGATCACTAAATAATAAAAACATGTTTCAATCAGCTTAATTATATTTATGTTATGTTATTTTCTGAATATTATATTACAAAACATAAATAAATACAAAGAAATATGAAATTGATTAAAAGTAAAATTAAATACAAATCATCAGATGTAATCATCGAAATATACTTAATATAATATATATGATTTTTATTGTGACTATATTTTTTTAATACACTATTCTCTACATTTCTGCTTTCCCATAGTAATTCCTTATATGGGGAGTATATAAGAAATTACTATGGGTAAGAAGAAATGTAGAGAATAGTGTATTAAAAAAATGTAATCACAATAAAAATACATTAAAGCTTTACACAGTCTATAACAATACATTGACAGTAATAGTACTAATATTTAGTCCAAAAATTAAATTTACAAAATATTAGAATTGCACGCTAACTTCATTTTACATTTACACCTGGTGTAATCTGGTGACGCCAGCGAAAACAAATTACGCTAGTTACTCAATTTAATTAATACTGCATAGCCCATATAAATTACACGTTCATTAGAATGTAAACAATTAATTAGAGAACCTTAATTATTTCAATAAATAGATATAAAAGCGTGGTGGCAAACTGTGTGTAAATTTTCAGATATAATCCCAAGAGCAATGTAATGAAACCTACAGGTGTGCCAACGTATTAATAGAGTAGTAGGTATATTGTTTGTTAATTATAAAAAAAAAAATAGAATATGGTATAAGTTTTCAAACTTTAAAGACGTTTTATAAAAAGGTTTGTATATTTAAAAAACAAGATATCAAACTCTCTATTAAATGTGAAATACATTGTCTGTCCTTACATGATAGGCCTATCGATTACGACGAGCAGGCAGTTTGAAAGACAGATTATGTTTACATTGCGATATCATAAACGATTTTTCTAATCAAGCAAATCGAATGAATATTGCAAAACAGATGTCAATTTATTTAACCAATGCTATTTCTATAGGTATTATATTTCTTATATTTTATTCGTCCAATCGAATGACAGCGCCTCCATCCATTGAAGCCAATTGAAGTAGCAATTATTTGGTGACTCAATTCTATTCCCGGTGTATTTTATGATTACACATACAAGACGATAAACAATTAAAGTTGAAGTACTAAATTAATAATAACAGCACACCCTGACGATAGGCTTGTTCACTGTCATTTAAAAGTTGAAATAATTTGTGCTGTGATTGAACAAAAATCATTACTGTTGTTTTGTTAGGTCAATTAAGTCTGTCAGTATATCAGACCTCGCTCCAATTGCGAATAAATTGATGTTTTACTTTATTTTATATTTATCGTCATCACATATAATTGACTACCGTTTTCATGTCAATTCTCTTTTAGTATTAATCATTATATTGAACCTACTACCAAGGATAGCGATTTCTACTGGGATCAGATAAAGTTTGCAATTAATATTTATATAACTAACTTTTCAGATATTCATTTAACTTTTTGTATTGGTAGGACCCCGCTTCTGCAATCCCCAAAGGCACTCTTCTGGCGTTGCTGATCTCTATGTTAAGTTATGCCCTGATGGTGCTATTCTCCGGGGGCGGAGCGCTGCGGGACGCTAACGGAATGACAAGCCTTATCGTCAACGGAACCTACAACATCAGTGAAATTGGCGACTGCATGTATACTAATGGTACTTGCAAATATGGACTGCATAATAGTTATTCGGTATGTGTGTAATAAAAATTAAAACTCCTTTACAACAGCCTACTAACTTTCATCACGAAAGTATCCATGGTCCTTTGAGCCGGATGATAAAAAACATGTTTCGAAACTGACAAAGAATTATTTAAATAATTCTAAAATTGGTTAACGGTATTACAATAAATATCATAATTATACAATATATATAATATTACAAAACAAATGCTTGTTATTTTTACCCAAAACTACATAATTGTTATCTGTTATTGATAAATGTCAATGCGTTCCGCATTATGTCACATTTCGATCTATCATTTTTGGTCTTATAGTATTTTTTACCAAATAATGTCAAGCTTAGTAGATTATTCATTTAAAAAATATATGTAGGTACACAATTTCATAGCAACTAAAATTATTTTATAAATATTTTCGTTTTATTATTGTATTTGATCCTTAGTTAGTATATAAATTTGAATTATATACCGATTCAAATTTCTATATTGATAAATAATTCCTCAGGTTATGCAACTGATGTCGGGATGGGGTCCACTGATCTACGGGGGCTGCTGGGCGGCAACTCTGTCCACTGCTCTTACAAACCTGCTGTCGGTGCCTCGACTAATTCAAGCTCTTGGAGTCGACCGTATCTACCCCGGCCTCATCTTTTTCTCCAAACCTTATGGCAAGCATGGAGAGCCTTACCGCGGATATGTGCTAACCTTCCTGGTCTCTTTGGTCTTCCTTCTTATTGGTCAGTAAATGGCTAGCCATTCATTTATTTAAGCTTTATTGAGTAACTATATACCCACTTATAGTAATTATTTTTATTTTTGATAAATCCGGTTTTTGTAAAGGATACTCGATAGTACAGATAATATCAAATGTATTATATAGGTATAAGATATAAATACTTGAATAATGATATAAGCCATTTGAAATGTAGATGATTGACTCTAAATGTAAGATTTTAAAGAAGAAAGAAAGGACTGAATTTTTTTTGATATGTATTAAAGAATAGTAAGCCTAGATATGGCCGACATGGTTCAGTGAAATTTGTGAAAATATTTTTTGTCGGACTAATATATTGAATTTGGCTTGCATATAATTTTGTATTACAACAATAGTAATATTTGTTGCAGCTGATTTGAACACTATTGCTCCTCTTATCTCAAATTTCTACCTAACATCGTACGCATTGATAAATTTCTGCACATTCCACGCGGCACTTGTTCGCCCTCTCGGCTGGCGACCTACTTTCAGAGTAAGTTATAAATATTATTTGATTCACTATTGACATCAATTTCATTTTCAGATCATGAATTGAATATCTGTATAGAATATTTACTATATTTAATACTAGCTATTTTTACGATAAATTTCATTATGATTCGTTCCACCCTTTAAATATGAGAGAAAGAGACACACTATATCTATATACCTAATATATGTATGGATCAGTATAGTAGTTATTCTAAGACGACAAAAATTATATGACATGTTTCTTGAAGTGTTTCCGCCTATTTGGTGTTTAAAGTAATTTACAGATTAAATGACAAGAATAAAATACAACAAAACATGAGAAACATTTTTTTAATCGTTATAAGATCTTGAAGTTTTCAACTTATATTCACAATTACTTTGTAATATGATGTACATATGCACAGTCCCAGTATAGTATATTAGTAATATTGTTATATTATATCCTACTGATGTTTTTAGTGAAAAGTGACTTGTACCAAATTACAATAATATAGTATTTTTTGTCTATAAACGAAAGTGTAATGCCACTTTCTGTAAACAATATTACGATTCACAATAAATTGTACCATAAATATATAGATACTTTTTTAATTTTACCTATGAATTGAGTGTCGAAATTTTAAAAAATACTACATCTTAAAATGTACCTTATCCACCTATAGAAAAGAAGAGTCATATTTTTTTTACAATTAGATACAATTTGTTCCACAGTATTACAACGTATGGCTGTCTCTGCTCGGTTTCCTGATGTGTGTTGCAATTATGTTGCTCATCAGTTGGATCATGTCGCTCGTCACATTCGCCATATTCTTCACGCTCTACCTCATCGTGCATTATCGGAAACCAGGTATTAACACGCCGGAAAAGCTGTGTTTGCTGATCGATTTTAGTTACCCAGCCGGGTCGTTTTTATGTCATTCGGACTATATGATTAGATTAGTACAATTATTATTTGACTACATAGTAGGTAACTATCAAAATTGGGTGCTATTATTATACGTTGTAACCTATCCTTAACTTATAAAAAAAGAACTTGTAGTGTCTTACCTTTAGCTTCTCTAGGGACATAAAATTAGAAAGTGTACGGTAGGATTGAAAACGCAAACTGCTCTTTTGAATATGTAGAATTTCCACTACGCTACCTAAGAATGAAGATCTGTAGTGTTTGACGCGTAGTTCGACGATAAATTTAAGAAGTTAATTTGATCAACAAGCTCTAGAGTAATTACTACAAATAAATCAAAATGATCCATTACATTACTCATAGTTTGAACACCAGCTTACGAGTACTGTCAAGAACATGTGTGAAAGTATAAAACAGTTTGATCTATTGTGTTGTCATTTGTTCAATTCTGCGAAACCATATTTTCTGTACATTTTAATTTCATGCATGAGATAGTGACCTTGTCAACAGAAGATGAGATCTTATATTTGAATGATAAGCAATAATATTAAATCTGCAATAGTAACGGTAATATCGGTAGTTGCTCAGTAACAAAAATAACCACTGTCGGCTGCCGGTAAATCAGAACCGAATAAACTTCATGAATTATTGCATCATTTTCTCCTAACTTGTTATTGAAATCGAATTGCGAAAGCTGGTTATTAATAGAATATAAGCAAGTACCCTTCTTCCTCAAAACTACTGAACAACGAACACCTAGTTCTCCCTAAATTATGTATGTTTAGAAGTAGAGCATTAATAGTTCGTTGATTTTAATTTTATATCAGTACATAGTGTGATTGAGAGAATCATATATATAAGTTTTTATATGTGTATGGTTTACAAATTTATCTAAATACATTAAATATATTATAAATATTGTTTTAAATTAGCTAGTTCTTATAGACTTATATCTAAGTCTATTTTCCGATCTCTACTATCCGGGTTACCAGTCGTTGCGGTATATGTACCGTATAATAATAATAACCCAGGACAATTCATACACAGCACCATCTAGTCCCGAGCTAAGCATAGCTTGTGTTATGGGTACTAAACAATGAATAGATATAATTAGACACATTTTTTGTAAATAGAAACGTAATATATATAGAAATTTACGTTTCTTATTTACAAAAAATTTAGGTATACATACTCGTATATATTTATACATAGAAATCGAATCTACGACCATCGGAAATAAAACGGTGTACTAAACCGCTACACCAACGAGGCCGTCTTATATATGTATATTAGTTACAATACCACGATTTTTATTAATATTTCGCAGATGTTAACTGGGGTAGCAGCACCCAAGCGCAAATGTATAAAACTGCATTATCCAGTGCCCACAACCTGGCCCGCACAGGGGAACACGTTAAGAACTATTGGCCCCAACTGTTAGTGTTAGCGGGGACCCCGCAGACCAGACCGGCGCTTGTTGACCTCGGATACCTTATCACTAAAGCTGGATCATTAATGATTGTTGGGAACATTTCAGAGGTATGTTCATTAAGTTTATTCGTGAATATTAAGTTTGTCCATAAAATATCCATCTCAATGTGGGAAAACAAATTTCCATATAGTCTGTACATTTATCTCGGAAACTCGACTGTTATAAGATTTAACGGTGTACCGCTGTACCTGTGATATCAATTTGTTGAACCGAATATTTTATTTTAAACAATTAGTTTTAAATATTTCTACATATTTTTCACATTATAATGTCAAGATTTACGTACATACACTAGTATTTCCATTACATTTTTTTTTATATCAAACAACACAAAAAAAAGTGTTATTTCAGTATTCTTCTGTTATTGTAGTTTCAGTATTTTTTACAGTACAGTAAAGCTACAAACCAACTACTTACTTTCTTTCAAACAGCTAAATATATCTAAAAGTTGTGTTTTATGAATTATTAATCAATAGACTAATGTAGAAATACATGACTTACAGAAAAAGCTGTCATATAAGGAGCAATCGTCCCGCAACCGATCAGGGGATGAATGGCTTCGTGGACGTAAGGTCCGAGCTTTCTGCAGCGCTGTCAATGGGTTCAACTTCGAGCTTGGCGCGAGAGCACTTATGCAGGCCGCTGGTGTTGGACGATTGGCTCCCAATGTATTGCTTATGGGGTACAAATCCGACTGGACCACTGCACCAGCACACGATCTTGTATCATACTTCAATGTGTTACAGTAAGCATAATTGTACTGAAAACAAAATTGTATATGTAATTACAGGAGAACTTAGTCGTCCGAAATGACTACGCATAAGTGTTATCCAAGGCGTCACATAGTGACGTGTTGGGCGTAGTGTGACGGTTGATTTTTACCTTGAGGTCAGCTTGATAGTAATAAATAAACTTTATTTCCACGTGAACCGATTTTTACGAGTCTTCTTTTATTTGAAATCTTGTACTTGTCATGTAATCCCATATAAATTTGAACTTTGCTATTTGGCAGTTTGATACTCATATAAAATTCTTAAAGATGTAATTCCGCGCATTTACGCAAATGCTCCTCCTGCTCATTTTTGTGATAAGTCTACGTTCCGAATGATTGTTAGAATAAAAAAAATATAACTAAAATTCAAAAGTGTTTAAATAGAAATAATCTTTATTCAAGTAAACTTAATATTATTTGAATAAAGATTATTTCTATTTCTATTATTTTATATATTTAAATCTTCAAAAGATATCCGATATATAAATCGTTCATTAAAATGGCGTGGTATGTGAACAGTACGGCATTCGAGAACCGCCTGGCGGTGGCGATAGTGCGCGTAGCTGGCGGGCTGGACCACGGCACGGCGGTGGAGGAGGCGACGGCCACGCCGGCCGGCGGGCACACCGCCACCTCCAGCGGCAGCGGAGACCTGCGCGTGCGCCGCGGGCCCTCCAACATTATGCACGCAGACTCTGACCTCGACATACGCTCGCCAGACTCGCAGCCCACCAGCAGGAACAATCTCACTAGTCAGTCAAATTTATTATTCTAATCAAATCTAAAATCGTTTAAGCTTGTAGGATATTCTAGTCGCTGAAGACTGTAATTTTTTTTATATTAATGTTTTTTCCTACAGTTCATGTTATTACTTAAGCGTATTGGGTAGGAGCGTAAACCCAATATACTGTTCTTAATATGTAATTCTAGTTACGCTCGAATTAGTATCGCTCGAGTACATTGACAGTTAATAGTAGACAAACATAAAATAATCGTATAGGTATCCTTATAAAATTGACATATATATATTTTTTTCGTTATATACTTTTCTAAAATTCTTTTAGGTTTACTAAATATGCCGATAACACGCTCCTACACGATATCTGAAAAAGACACCAAAGAGAAGAAAAAGGATAAAAAAATGGATTTCCACAGGCAAATTGTATATAAAACATCCAACGGGCTCGAAATATCAAAGGATCAGTTGTCACAAATGAGCTTATTCCAGAAAAAACAGGTTAGTTATTCTTAATATCTATCTTTACATATATCTCTACTGCTTATTTTAGCTAAATTTTAAGTAGTCTTTGCCGTAATAAAGTAAAGTCAGTCGTAATAAAAATTGGAGTCGTTTCATATTACGGCGGATTACATTATTCAGCTATGTAGTAGTATAACTATAATAGTACGAGATCCCGCTGCAGAATCAGTGTATCCATCGAGTGTTTGCTGAAAACCAAATTTTTACATATATTTATCATTAGGAGAATTTATATCTACCAGGTTGCCTATCAAAATGTGGCCGCTAGTATTTTTAATTAAATTATTAATAATTCATAATCCGTAAGAAATTTCATTGACTTGTTTTTTCAGTAAAATGTCGTTCACTTTACGGCAACATCTATAAAGAAAAATCATGGTTGCCGTTGCGCACCTGGCCGTCTTCGCAGTACACAGGTATGATTTTATTACATTTATACACCCACAACGTACATTCATAATTTAATATCAAATTAAAGCTAATTTTTTTCTGTTTATTATCATATACGGTTGCCTAATTAAATCTGGCCGCAAATAAGGGTTGCTGGCTATTAAATATAGTATGCGTCTGACGCATGCCATGCCATTGCGCATGCGTCTGACGCATGCGCAATTAAACTGTCCGACAGCTAGCAATCGCTATCCTCGTTTGACTAGTGGTGTTACGCGCTAGCTCTCTTTCACTCTACTTTTAATATTTACTATATTTAATAGCCAGCAACCCTTATTTGCGGCCAGATTTAATTAGGCAACCGTATATGATAATAAACAGAAAAAAATTAGCTTTAATTTGATATATAAATTAAATGTACGTTGTGGGTGTTCAGGTGCGCAACGGCAACCATGATTTTTCACAGTCTTTATAGATGTTGCCGTAAAGTGAACGACATTTTACTGAAAAAACAAGTCAATGAAATTTCTTACGGATTATGAATTATTAATAATTTAATTAAAAATACTAGCGGCCACATTTTGATAGGCAACCTGGTAGATATAAATTCTCAGCAAACAGTCGATGGGTACACTGATTCTGCAGCGGGATCTCGGACTATAAGCTCTTAAGTCGATAAAGTTTAAATTCTGTTCTTGGTCTCGCTCAACAGTTAAGCTAACTTGGTTGGTCCGCCGTGCCTTAATATATAAGGTTTCGATTTTATTAAAAATTATTTTGCTCAGCCATTTTAAATAATTACAGGAAGCGGGCACTTTAGACGTATGGTGGTTATACGACGACGGCGGTCTCACTATCCTATTACCTTATATTATCTCTCAGCGGTCATCTTGGGCCAACTGCAAACTGAGAATCTTCGCCCTTGCCAATCGACGTCATGAAATGGAGCTTGAAGAAAGAAAGTAAGACTATTATAAAATCCATTCCAAAAATTATTAATTAATTATTGGAAAAATATCCTTTAATAGAATCTCGAAATTTGTAGAAGAGTACTATTAACTATTTGCAGAAAATGTTTCAATTTCAGCTGAAACTGAATTTCTGTTTCGGTTACCCTAGACTAAAGGTGAAATTAATTATTGTATGACCTATAATAAAATTAGTTTCTCATCTATTCTCACACTTTTATTTCAGTATGGCCAACTTGCTTTCTAAGTTCCGAATAGACTATTCGTCATTGACAATGGTGCAAGATATAACTGAGCCTCCACAGGAAGACACGAAGAGAATGTTCGATGAAATTATAAAGAAATTTGTCGGAGAAAATGAAGGTACTGTCATAATTTATTCTTTATCAACATGACATTATATTAATGGACATACTCGTAATATGCCAGTGTATGCAATATGGCTGCCTCATTCTCAGTTACAGATAAATGATGTATAACATATCATGTGAAAAGGAAATCTAATTTTAAATAATTAATTATTATATTCTAGACTATTGTATCAACGAAACAGAGTTGCTAACGTTAGCGGAGAAAACAAACAGACAGCTGCGGCTCCGCGAATTGTTGCTGGCCAACTCGAAGGAGGCGCGGCTGGTCGTTATGTCATTGCCTATGCCCAGAAAGGTAAGTTTGAAATCGTACCATGTTTGTGAAATTTAGTACGATCACATGTTATTTGGTTCAGTCGGATGATGTTTCATGCCAAATGTATCAGAAAATTAAATTTCTTTAGAACCGTTTTTCTGGTGTTTCTGTAGTTATTCTGCTATTCGGAACGACGAGAAATTCAACAATTCGAATATAATATAACATATATTGACATTTATAATTTATTCTGTTAGCCAAACTGTACTCACTACTTTGAATGCAGTAAACCACTGCTACTACTAGACATATGTTTTATCTATATAGATGTGTGCTACATCAATAAGATATGATTATGTACCTCAGGGTTCGGTGTCAGCCCCGCTGTACATGGCGTGGCTAGAGATGCTGAGCAGGGACCTTCCTCCGGTCCTATACGTCAGAGGCAACCACACGTCGGTGCTCACCTTTTATTCTTAAAATCATTTAAGTAAATATTAATAGTGATCGCTGTTATTTAACCAAAGTTTTTGAAACTCTTAGCTTATTCTTCTTGACTGTACTTATTGTATTGTTATTTCTAAATTTAATTTTACTTATATTGAATGAAAATAATCGTGTAGATACATTATTAGGCAGGTAAACTATTTTAGATAAATAAACAGCTATAATGTACTTAACTTGCATTAAACAGAGCTAAGTGCAGAATTAAAGTAATTTACATAATTAAATTATGTTACAGTTATTTAATTCTAGGTAGGTAGAGATAGTTAATGTCAATTTTTAATATGACTAAGTATTAGATACTTTCTAATAATTTTACACTACTAGTTTTATAATTGTATATATTAAATACCTAATTAATGAAATTAATTATATATAATAAGATTAATAAGAACCAAATTACTAAATAAAAATATATCCAAAGACACAATGAACAAACTTTTTTTATTATTAAAATAAGTACATAAATAATCAAGTTTTAGTAGGGCCTAATGTATAATATTTATTGCTTTTTTTTAACTTTCAACGTATCTCTCTACAAAATTAAAAACATTGAGTGGACCGACATTATACAAATAAACCAACGTGAATTGTATAACAAACTATATGATATTTACAAGATTACTGTAACCTGTACTAACAAATTACCTGTGAGCATTACATGTAAATTGTTATTTAATTTTATACAAAAGTTACAACGTAATAGGTTCGTAGATCTTCTGTGTAATTCCTCCCGAAAATAATTAAATTGTACATCCACTATACAAGTTTTGTCAATATAAAGTCGTAATAGTGAAAACAACAAAACGCGTAGCATAAAATTCGTTTTGATTGTAACTTAAATTAATTGTAGTTATAAATAGATTATAATTTTTATTATATTTTTAATATTTATAAATTATATTTTAAAGTAATTTACTAATATTAGGCATAGAATAAATATTACCTTAATATTTTTTCTATACTTCAGTAATCTTTTGTACCCCTGCTGTACAAGACGTAAACAAGATGTAAACAAGATGCCAACTATAAGATTTATTTTTAAGGACGATTTATCTATATTGAGTGAGGATATGAAATATTATATGATACAAATTTATGATTTTATACGTTTCTCAGATGATGGAGGGCATAAACGTATAATATACTCACTCGATAAATCTTCTTAGACATTAAAAATTCCTTCTCTCCAAACCGCATCCATAATAATTTTGGGATACAAATGTAAATCTGTATGTAATTATATAACAAATTGTAACAACAAGTACAAGACAATAAAACCATCGTGACCAATATTACAGTTTTTTTATGTTATTTATACTCTTTATTGCACCACATTACATAATTATTTTTTATAGTTATTAGTTTCTTTTTCAAAGTATACCAAGTGATATACGTATCACACTTCTTGTTTCCCTAAAGAATCTTTTATTTGTGCCTACACCTTATTTGATTTAATTATATGATTTTATAGTGATAGATATTATTAATATTTTTTCCGTGTATTTTTCTATTGCTTTTAATGTAAATAGGTATATTTTTGATTATCAAACTAAATTGAAGTATTTAATGAAACACTTAAATATTTTGTAGGTAGTTCTGTTCTTATAACCGGATATATTATTTCTAATATGTATTTTATAAATTTATGTATATATCACTTGCTATCTGTGATTTCTGTTCTGTTCTATAATTATATCTTTAGCTGTCAATGAAATAATTATGTTGCTGCAATAGCTTTTGTCTTTCTATGTTTATTATTATAAATATAAAAAAATCCCAATAACAAAATATACTTTACATCTCGTTAATATTAATGTGAGAGTAGTTCTTGCAAAAGTACACTCAAATTAATATTAACGAGCTTGCCAATAATAAAATCAACGAAGATACCGCATTAGTCGACTACCCACCAAACTTATACATATAAAATAAATTTAAACTAAAAACTACGAATTAATTTAAATTACGGTACAAATTATACACAATCATGTCATCTGACTCTCTATTTTTGTCATATAATTCTTATATTATTTCGTAGTTGTGTAAGTTAATTTATAAAAATAACGAAAGTGTAGAAAGACATTTTTTTGTAATTAAACAACGTTTGTAACTGATTTTAGTATTCATTCTATCAATAAATATTTTACATCTAATGTCGTACCTTGTTATACGCAGTAACACATACATACAAACTTCTCTCAATTTCTGACTCTACCTACAACCATTCACCAATAGTCATTTACGGATTATTTATGAAAAAAAATTAATTTACCTCTTTGAATTTACAAACAACGTTGTTTGTAGTCTAGATGAGTGCTAAACCTACAGTTAAATCAACGTCAAAGGTATTTCAATTTCGTCTACTAAAATAACGTTTCGTTCTGTCAAAAACGGACAATAGAGTTCTGAATAATAGGGCCGTAAATTATTTTCTCTTTTGAAAAATAACTTCGAATCTTCGCGCTAGCACCACGATATGTAAGACGCGAAACAATAGTTCGTATACCCTAGTAATTGTCCTAACTTAAAAAGGAACTAACTAACTCTAAGAAATATGTAAGCCATCTTGATAAGAATTCATGGTGAATTTGTCACGATCAGGTAACTGATCTGACCTCATAATCATCCTATTATTCTCTACTGGTGACCCGCCAACGTAAACCGTTAGATCAAACGAGTGCACCGTTCCATTATCATCTATTAAAAAAGAAGTAGGTAATAATTCGTTTAATAATTAAAGTAAAATAATTATTATGAGATAATAACTATGAGACTACTCTTTTTTTTCAATTCGTAATTATTTTATGTTACATTCACCAATATAAATGCTACATTAATTCTATTCGATATATTATTCCTTGATGAACAATTTGTGTTGATAGTATGGAAAATCTACTAGTAAAGTTTCGCATTGAATACAAAGTGCTTTCGTTAATCCCAAATATAAAGGAGTCGCTCACCGACGCTACATGGATTTTATTCAGCAACCTTATAAATGGCTTTAAAACAACTGAAAATGATGTAGTAGTACTAGTATTTTTACTTTATACCTTTAATTAAAACACTCAATCTGTAAATAAATTGTTTCTGTTGTTTTCCCTAATGTAGAGATGCCAACTGACACCTGCTAAAACTTTTACACAATAAATAGTCAGAAAATCATTTTATTGGATAATTTCATAGAGGAAATAAAGAACTATACTGATTATTTAGTATTTCTTTTAGGGTAATGTACATATATAAAAATCTATCATGATGAAATTAGGTAGATACTAAAGCATAGTGTGTAAAATTAATACTGTTCAGGCACGTACCTATAAAACATAATCTCTTTTTGCGTATGTTAGTTCATTTGCTTAATTGCTAAGGAATTTAGTGTAGTTTATACAATTTCTAATAAAATTTACAGTTGTAATGAAGTAGACGTTCTGTAGTCGGTTAGTTACTTTATTAAGAATAATTATGATAAACACGTCTTATAATGTTTAAACGAATATTATAAGGAGTAAATTTCATATTTTTGTCATGTATAAAGTAAAATAAATAATAATTTTATTAAACTTTATATCAGGGATCGGTGCCTGTTGCCTTGTAGGTATATATCGTGGCTGGAGATGTTGAGCAAGGACTTGCCGCCCATGCTGTTTGTTCGCGGGAACGCCATTTCTGTACTCAATATGTAACAACACCACATATAAATGAAGCTAGTACTTCAATTGTTTGAAAACTATGCATGGCCACTACTAAACGCAATGTTATAACTTTTTAATAAATCGAGTTCTATTTCCGCAGGTTTCTTGACATAATTATCTAAGACTCCTTAAACTTAACAAATAAAATTAAAAAAGAAACGTTCTTTTTTAATTTTATTTATTAAACTTTTAAAGTAAAAAATGTACACCCAAAGTATATATAATTCCAATTATTAATCTAATTTCATACTATATTCCCTGACAATAAACACTTATATAGAAATAAATAAAACAAATCAAATAAATATATTACATTTTTTATTTCACACAATATTTCACAAGGGGGTTTCATTTAGATTTAACAAAAAAAATATTTACAGATACAGAATCAACAGTTAATTCAGTTTAACAATTTCCTTAATTTTATAGTATATAAGAAAATATGCTAGTTAGCCACGTCCAGATTTATTTTCAGTCCATTGCCGTATACACAACATTTGTAGCGACCACAGCATAATGAAGAACTAGAGTAATAAAATACACATTACGGATAAATATACTCTAAGACTGAGAATATTTTAGTTTGAATCGAGATTTAAAATTTATAGTGGATATGCTCCATAATTTTTAACAATGGAGAGCATAAATACAGTCTAAATGTGTGTTTTTATAGAGAGCACATAAATGAAAATAGTTTTAAATATACGGCGATATGTATATAGCGTGACAGGACGGTGATTCTTCATACTATGCTTTTTGAAATATCTACGAGATATGTAGCAACATATATTTGAAAAATAGTCATTTTGCTATAAATCCATAATATTTCACTAGTAGTAAATATAACTTTGTTTTTTATTACAGGCGTTAATTTATTGGTGCTCATGTTCAATTACTTTAATATAAACGTATGATTCAGTCATATTTTCATAATGCGAACTGCTAGTGTAAAATTATAATTTTGGAGCATTATAACTTTTACTCAGTCTATCGATATAAAAATTATTCGTATGATATTTGTAGTGATATCTAGATGTTTCAGTGCATATAATACTGACGAATAATTAGCAATATTAATAAATGCACACACCACATCGCGGTGATTGCAAGTGAACAATGAATAGGAGTTGTGAGACATTTCCTTTACGCAATATAAAATATCGTACCAGCACCTCAACATATAAAATAGTATCAAATTTGTGAAATTTTGTTAGTGATAAAAATATATTTATATAAAAATTACTATATTCATACTATTAGAGGCATACAATTTCATTGAAATAAAATGTAAACATACATAACTACATAAATTATCGACGAAAATCTTCACACAGCCATACTTCTTACATAAATAATTCTTAAGTAATTTATGGAAAATATTTTTGGTTACAAAGAATTTTATAAATATAAAAAATAAATACTTGAATTAAGAGGTTGCCTTCCAAAGTTTGTTCCGAATTCAGTTCTTATTCACTCTACAGGAACATTGTTTTATAATGATTTCACTATCGCTTATACTACGGGCGGGCTCCGATCCGACAGACATTGAATCGCTGACGTAATGTGTTATATTATTCGTATATTGTAACTGTGTGATGAGTGACCATGCTCCGATTAGTTACCATGACACTGTCCCTCACTTACACTATTCTAATGAACACATCTCTCGTTTGTGCAATACCATGGCGGGTAGACGTGGAACGGTAGCACTGTACGATGCGCGCGATCTTTGGTCTGTAGAACTGAGATCCTATGACACGGGTTTGTATGTTTGGTGGTTTGTTATCAATGTGGCTATAACTCGTCACTCGCTCACTGTACACTGCGCCGCCGGATGCGGGCTGACGGCCGGCGGCCAGGTCACGGGTTCGCGGGGTCGCGTCTTACAAACAGACGCACAAAGGCCGCGACAGTCTTCATTCTGACTCGTCGTCGTTCTCTTCGTCGAATCCAGACAAGTCGGCCGATTCCAAATAGCCTTGCATTACCTATAAAAAGCAAATACATTTTAATAACCTCTCATTTCATCTTCATTTTAACGGAACTCCATTTTAATGGTAATGACAATAGTAATTAATTAAGAAAAGATACTCTTAGTGTTAAGACTAATGGCCCGCCGTTAATTCTGTTGAGTATTGGCAAGGGTACGCTAATGGACTTGACTTTGTTTTCATCCTGTAAGATATAGGATGACCGGGTACCGCTGGTGCCCCGCGAGTATATACCATTATTACCGGAGGAAGCAACATGCCATAATAATAATAATACTTCTAGACAAGTCACACTTCCTCTAGTTCCAAGATGTTATGGGTCGACAACAATTTTCTTTGTAAATACATAATACAGACCGATTCAATCAATTCTACTCCTGAATACAAATGTTTACACCGTGCGAGGAATCGAACTCGCGACCATCGGAACTAAAGCTGTGTTCAAAACCACTGATCAACCGAGGCCGTAAGCCATAAATATGTAGAGTATAAAGTAACGAATGGTACTGACCGCATACTCAAGGATGGCGAGGTGACAGAAGACGTACTGGTCGGGCATCTGTATGGAGTGAGCGCGCTGCGCCCGCACGCGCTCCACCGTGCCGCGCACGTCCACCGCGCCCTCGTGCGCCAGTCGCAGCGCGCACACGTCCAGCGTCAGGAACGTGCCTACACACATCATATACATATGTATAGTATATGTTTATATATATCGCTCCACCGTGCCGCGCACGTCCACCGCGCCCTCGTGCGCCAGTCGCAGCGCGCACACGTCCAGCGTCAGGAACGTGCCTACACACATCATATACATATGTATAGTATATGTTTATATATATCGCTCCACCGTGCCGCGCACGTCCACCGCGCCCTCGTGCGCCAGTCGCAGCGCGCACACGTCCAGCGTCAGGAACGTGCCTACACACATCATATACATATGTATAGTATATGTTTATATATATCGCTCCACCGTGCCGCGCACGTCCAGCGCAGAATATACTAACTAGTATATTCATTCTAACTAATAGACCTCCGAGAGATCCCTTTAAACATTGTGATTATACCGGTGAACTCGATGAAATATCTGATTACGTCCTTATGCCTGCGTTCTCATAATCAGCGTATACCATTAGTATATCAATAAAACTATAGCTTACCAGTTCGGCCTATTCCAGCTGAACAGTGTACGACGATTGGCGGCCCTCTACTGTGACCCGCCCACGCGTCTCCGAGGCTACAATGGAAATAATGCAAAATAATGACATATTAAAAGAAAATATAATTTTGAACAGAAAATAGTGAATAGAAGCAATAGAATAGAAGAAATAGCTTCCACTAGTAAGGTTGAGTTATGCATCTTGAGAGGGAGGAGGGGTCGAGGGGAGGTGCAAATAGGACCTAACCATTTCACATCTCGTCACAGAGAATGTCTTGCGCGTCTTATAATTTCGTTCTTTGTATTACATATTTGAATTATATTATAGTGTTTTCTTTATATATCATGTATTTGCAAAAAAAAATGTATCTATGTATCCGTCGTCTAGTACCCATAATACAAGTTCTGCTTAGTTTAAGACTAGATAATGCTGTGTGAATTGCACCGAGATATCATCTTTACATAGTATAAAATAAAGTCGTCGCCGAGGTTTGTTCGCTTATATGTTTTATAGAGTGATTCAAAAGGAAGGTATACTTGCGTGTTATTGTGTATAAGATGGCAAGAAATTCAAAAACATGTAATGCACTCTTACGTTACGTTAGATCTTTACTGATTTAGATATTCTATTATAGCGCTGTAATATTGAAATAAATAAATCTTAATAATATTATAAAAGCGTATTCAAGTATGGATGTTTGCTACAATTTCACGCAAAACGGATTTTGATGAAAGTTTAGAGTAATATATGCATCAGAATAACACATGCGGTATATTTTAAATTGAAATATATATATGAGATTGGGCACGTACTCGGCGAGCGCGAGGTGCTGCGCGCGTCGCACGCGCTGCAGGAAGCGCAGCACGGGCGCCGCGCGGCCGCCGCCCGGCACGCCGTAGTCGGGCCACCGCGTGTACTGTCCGTGCCACACGCGCCGGCTCTGCTCCGTCTGAGTACAGATACACACATACGAGGTATACTATCCTGCTATCGCAACGATTAGGGGCCGTCCATTAATCGCGTGAGGCTCGAAAGCAAAAGTCACCAAATACGACGAGGGGGAGCGAGGTCTAGTAAGATATTAAGTGTATTTATTTGTTCGTCAAGCGCGCGATTTCTAAACCGTAGTGTAGGTACTTAATATTGTATGTGATTTTGGGTGAGGCGCGGGGTTAGTCTTAAACCTATACACATATCATAAGGGAGGGGAGGGTTAAAACTGCTAAAAATAATTGTCACGGGATGAATGGCCCTTCATTTGGTCGTTCACATACAATAAAGGGTCGATCGGTCACCGTTCACATACAATTACACTTTTATAAATATAGTCTCTGTCATTATCTAGGCAAATTTAAATTCATTTATTCATATAGTACACTTTCCGGTTATACAAATCAATGTTTAATCACTATCCCTATCGCCCAATTCGGCTAGCTACTACAGTTAAGAAGAACTAGCAAAAACCTCAACATGTGGAAAATATTTTATTTCGTTATTAATGAAGAATTCAAGTTATGTGCATCTCAAACACATTAAATGTATCCACTAAACTACTCGTCAGAACAACTAATGCCAAGCGAAATCTGTCTGAATGTCATAATGTCTTATGACATTCAGAGAATGAGTAAGTATTCTGTAAGCGTTTTGTCAACTCATTGCACTCATCGCTTCACTCAAGGCACTCACTCATATACACTTGTCAAATATAAAGTTCCTACTGAGCTATAAAGTTTGCGTATATTTCTAAAACTCAGAAGGCTAATGTATAATCTTACGGCGGATTCCGCTTTCGAATTCGTAAGTTATGCTTACAGAATTGCTCTACTGGAGCATGATTAAACAGTCGACACTGACCCTGACGTCGGTGAGTAGTAGGTGCGAGACGATGTAGTCGTCCTCCTGGTCGACGGCCTCGGTGGTGACGGCGATGTTCCCGTAGAGCGCGCGTCCGCCGGCGGTCAGCGGCCAGTACTGTCCGCACTTGACGCGGCCGCGCTCCACGGCGCGCGTCGTCATCACCACCACCACCGTGCCCTGCTCCCACACCATGCGCCAGAAGTCGCCAAACGTCTTCGGCAGTGGACCTGTCACCAATATTAACAAATATTATACAAATAAGTAACCTACAGCGCCGTCTAGTGCCAAATTACGCAGAGCGCAGGTTTTATATTTTATACATTTTTTATACATATGTATAAAAAATGTATAAAACCTAAACTAATACTATGTAGGTGTATTACACACACACCACCACCACATACACCTAAACCATATAAGTACAATTGTCTATATTATAATAATCTAACACGAGACAATCCGAAAATAGCAATGTGAATTTAAGACAATTACAGAAAACTGTTAGCCAACTATCCCAGTCAGCTAGCCTAGCACAGATCTGTTAGTAAGACATAATATTAAAATATTATTTTAATATCAACATACCTTGTGTGCATATGAAGGCATTTTTCTGTTTGTACCCGTCAACGTAGTTGGCGTTAATGTAGTCCGTAGAAGGGTCATCAGGATCCGACTGCGACAGTAACACCCGCGAGTGGTCGTAGCACAACACGTCTGTGTAACGGTTCTTGGCTAGATTACTCGGCAATCTGGAGTATAGAACATTTTCAATCAATACCGGTGCCTTCATAGATCACTATTATTTCACAAGCGGGATAGCTTGCCACTGACGCTACCAAGAAAATAACTTTTCATTTTACATGTTATAATCGTTTTTAACAGAAAGATGTTCTGTTTCAGAAATCCTGTACTTATATATTGTTATGACTATTCAAAAGTGCTTCGATGTAAGTTTATTTGAATAAATGATTTTCTATTCTTTCTATTCTATTCTTATAGTCGATTTCGGAGCAGTAAGCGAATGAGTGAGTACCTAAGTGAGTGAGTGCGTTTTAGGAATCCAGTATTTGCTATAATCGATGTAGAGGGAGGAGTGAGCGAGTGAGTGTTAGTGTTAGTGTGTGTCTGTGTGTGTGGGTGTGTGTGTTAGCGGGCGGCACTCACTTGGCGTGGTGGAAGGTGCCGGCGGGCGCGCGCGCGCGGATGTCGTCGTACTCCGCGTGCAGGCCGCGGCGGCCGAGCGCGCGCACCCGCGCCAGCAGCGCCGCCGCGCTCTCGCCGCCGCCCGCCGCGCCGCTCTCCTCGTCCGACAGCCCCGGGGAGCCCTCGCCCGACGACCACGTACCGCGAGCTGACGACCGACACGTTATCGGTAAATCTCGACTTCTCTAATTTTATGCTGTCGCCCGCGCCCTACGGCGACGTCTAAGTCGGATAGATAAACTAAAGTCGGTAGTAAAACTTAAGTCGTCAATACTAGTCATCGGGGACTTCCGCGGGAATCGTTGTGATGAGTTCGTAATTAAATCGCCTCGACTGCTCGTCTGGCTGCCTGGCCTGGCATCCTCCTCATCATATCATTGGTGCCCGCCAACATATATGATATATTAACACAGACTTCATGGCATATTCAGGCATTAAAAAAGAAGTCTAGATAGGCGCCTGTGAGTGTGTTAATATTCACTTTAATAAACATTCACATTGTTCGGTTAACTGGTAGAGATCTCTTTTAGAGATAAGTCCACCTTTGCTCACTCTGTATATATTTAAGTTTATTACTGTATTTAAAAGTGCAATGAATAATTATATATAAATGATATGTTTTATTAACTACTGAATAATAATTATGGGTAATAAAACAATTAAGAAATTAGTGAAATAATTATAACTATTGAATAATAACTATTTAACTATTAATTAGGAGGATAATTAGGAGTCAAATTCTCGAGAGAAACCAGTGCTGTACTAAACAGGTCTAATTTAGCACGCAATCAAATGAGACTAACAAGGCATGTAGAAGTGAAAGCTATTAATTACTAGCATATCTCACTTACGAACGAGCATTTGACCTATTCACTACAATAAGTCATTGTAAAGTTCGGTGCATTTATATGCTTGATTAGCTAGAACCTCGTTTTCTTTGTATATAACATATATTTTGCAATTGGATCTTATTTTCTCCTACCAGCTTTTTTGTAGAGAGATCCAACAAAAGTAGTTATCGTGCATTATTGCAGAATCTAAATAAATTACTCAATGCGGACAAGCCAATAAAATACTTGTTTCTATATGAGTATAACAAACGTTGAAGAAGAATAAATAAAAAATGTACTTAATTGTATATCACTCACAGAACAATAGCATAATTAGAACAAAACGCATTGTTGCTGCCATGAACCGTTTCTACAATAAAACTCTTTATACCATAAAATGTATTTTACGACATTCGCCTTCGGTTTAACGTCAATACTGTGCGATTCAAAAACATATAATCGTTAAAAACAACGACTTATTATACCACACCACGTTTCAAAAACACGTGAATGTGAATAATAAAAATCAGAATGAGATACCTAACTAAACATATACGTTTCTGGTAAGCGAAATATAGACCCATAAATGTCTTATACACATACCTGATATGTTTTTATCTGAATTCGTTCAATAAATTAGTGAGAAATCCTTATAACATACAAAATAGATGGATACATCACAAATAAATTAAACACATATCAACGAATCTGTCATACGATGACAAAAGTACAGTTTTGAGGTTTTATTCAAATATAATAATGTTATTTCGAATCGGCAATAAACTTTGTAAAGCTCTAAAGTAATGGCCTCGGAAGGTCGATCTTAAAAAGCAACGAGTAATTCTTGGTACCCAACGAAATTGCTATTTCATAGAGGCTATGCGGTCGGGGTCACGTGAAACAAATGGTGAAGTTCGTCCTAGACAGATGCAAAAATAACTCGCACGGTAAAGTATATTATTATCTGTTCTAGAACACAAATTGTTTTTAATACTTTTAGCATACCAAAACAAGTCGCGTTTTGTCTTTTTGTCTTCCTATACACCCCATAACGGTCTTAGCTTTACTTGTCTCTAGTCCGCTAAATTAGATCTCTCATCTTGATACTCAAATATCCTGTATCTATTTTATATCTATTTAGACAAACTCTGTGATATACAACAAAGTAGGTACCACTTTTAAATTATTCATCTCAGTTCCAAAGCATTACCTACTGTGAATAAACGCCTATGACTACTAATCAAGAAAATGGTATTCGAGAACACTAGCTGCTGTATTTTTCATTAATTACAAAACTATTATACTTTTTTTTATGTATATATGTTTCAATATAAAATATTTTACTACGAAGCACTATAACACTGTGAATTTTTAGGTAGAAATTTATGAGAATTTGTAAGAGATTGTGTTGTGTGAATTATGTAAATTACAATATTTACTCACTGCTTAAATCTAAATCGTCTTCATCCCCTGAGTTTATATGCCTGCCCTTCACATCTCCATTGTACCCGTGTGTGTGCCTGTAAATGGAAAGGAACAACCTTGATATATTTAAATGTATTTTAACGGAAGATCTCGCATCTTTGTGGAATTATAATTTAAGCCACATTATGATTTCACGCCGCAGTTGTCACAAAAGCCAAATAAATACAATTTTATTATATAGATATATTTTTGTATGTAAATTACATATACATTGTACGATTATGTAGTCTTTGAATATTTTAGTCAAAGGGAATTTGAACGGAGAAGCCTTCTACATTTTTTTATCTACAATGACAGCAATATTATCATTGTTCGTGTAGTAAACACTTACTGAGAATGACAAGCGAGCGGGAGGTCTTGAACTAAGAATAATGTAGATAATTACTATGAACAAGATTAGTAAATGTCCTTAAGTATTTTTCAAGACATATGTATTAAAATATTTTTGTTTCGTAGTAATGTAGTATTTTTTTAATACATGCTACGAAACAAATAATACAAAATTAAATCAAGATAACACACTAAGCATTACACAAACAGATCATAATATTGTTATCATACGAGTAACATAGTGCAGTACTACCCCATAACAAGTCTGTCTTTATAGACCAATCACGGCTCGACTGGTCACGAAAACCCCCACCACCTCACTTGCGTCTTTACCTTCCTCACTTCTTCGTTAACAACTGGCAGTACGAAACGTAGAATTATAATTTACTACTTACTACCTATTAGACAACTGACACGATTATTTTATTTTATACAATCAGATAACAGTAAGTTTGTTTGTAGTAGTTTGTAGTATTTAGATTTTTTCTTATTTTGTACAATAAAACTTAATATAAACGAATTAAAAACTAATTAAATAAATTATTCGAAAAATAATCCTCTTATCCAATGTATTATACATTTAGTCTTATCTGATAAATCCGCGTTACAGCAAGCAGATGCATATTATAATGCATCATTGTAATATTATTTATACAAAAAGGTGCATGTGTGGTACAATACCTGAGCGGGTTGGCGTCGCATGTGTATGGCGGGTCGCCACTGATGTGCATGTCTGTGCCGTTGTCACCGAGCCGGGCCGTGCGATCACTGGTCATGTCACATGCGACCTCGTGCTCTATTATACCTGAGGACATACCGTACTACTACTATATGCTTATTTATACTCGCCTGGTCTTAATGTACAAAAATTGACCATAGTCCATATTTAAGTATAATGAGTAAATCTTGAGATCTTATTGCGTTTTATTTTTATTGAGTTCCCGATATTTCGACAGTGTCTCAACCGCCATTATCACGGGTAAACTGAAGAGCAGCGGTTGAAACACTGTGGAAATATCAGGAACTCAATAAAACTAACACGTGGTGAGATCCCGTGATTTACTAATTATACGTATAAATAATGACCACGTCAAATTTAAAACACAATATACAAGTACATACATAATTCGTTAAAATACAAATATTACTAAGATTCTATTGTCAAATACTAAATGTAGTTTACGAATGATATGTAAAACACCTAGTGTGTTTATATTGATTTATGAACATTTTATTTAAAAAATAAGCATAAACAGTACCAAGTTTCATACTACACCATACAAATTTTCATTAAAACTGGTACAAGCTTCACGTAATACTATGAATGTCATTCAAAAATATGATTCACCTGATGCAAGTGATAACCGATGTTTATAAACATGAGACATCATAGACAGATGGCACTGTAGGGCTACTTCATTTAAAAATATAATAGAGTATAACAGTTATAATTACAAAAGTTTTATTTTGTTTCACAACAATGAATAAGTTTTTTATGACTAGACTTACAGTACACACGGGGCAGTAAAATAGTGTATAATATTTTTTCAGTTTCACCGATTTATCACACAAAAATTACAATTTACTAATACATAAAAATTGTTACATAAGATTACATTTTCTATAATTACATATACATACATTTATAACGTAATTAATCCTAATGGATACTGTATCTATATTAAAATTCTATCTACACTATATTAAATTTCCGGAAACAATGAAAAGAAGGAAAGATAATCGATAGAAGGAAAAAGGACTCACTGTTTACAGGTACTGACATTGTAACTATAATAAGAAAAGCGAAGGTTTTCCCTAATTTAAAAATATTTCGCAATTTTCCACGGCCTCTGAAAAAGAATTAAATTCTCAATTGGACTACTATCTACGACTTCTTAGACGATATTTTCCGCCAATTCTATACATATTTTGATGATTTTTTTAAAATACTATTTACACCTATTTTGGCCTCATGCTAATTTAATCCAGTTGCCTTTTCTGCCATACTCGTTAATTGTTTCAATTTGATATAGGGCAGTAATTTAAAAAGACGTGACTGCTACAAAGATTTAGACATTAGTCTTACATGAATGATAAAAATAAGCGACACAACTCACCATTTTGTGGCTTGACCACTGGTATGTGATTACTGATTACATATTCGTCAATGATGCCGTCCAACTTGGATGCTTGGAGATGGTTTGTGTAGCAATTTTTACAGTGCTCCAACCTGAAAATAAACAATATATGTTTAATTATCCTTTCCAATTATAAAATATATTGTAGTACCTACAACTTACATGATGAAAAAGAAAAATATAGACATCTGAAAATTCATACACTTACTCTAAATGTGGTTAATCTTGGAACACGCCTATTTACTATATTTACTATGTATATGTATATGAATGATTACTATATTTGTAGTATAAATAAATATTAGTTTCTGTAAGTGGAATGGCATACATATGTACACCCTGTAATTTCACTGTCAATGTTCAACCGAAACACAGATAACAAAGCAAGCCACTTGGTAGCTAAAATACGTATAATCATTACAACATTTTGTTATATGAAGACACATACGATGATTATGACCAAATATCAATCCGATTGTTGCACGAAAAAGGATGGTTCCTTGACATATGTTGTATCCACAAATCCGTTTTTTGGACTACTCTAATGCTCTTAACTCAGCAGCTGGCCTTTACAGCTTCAACGGACGATAGGGGGCGAGTATAGATGGCACTCCAAACCCGCGAAAGAACTTATAGATTTGCTAAAGGCCAACTGCCGCCTGACGAATACAACTTTAGTCTGAAGACACCGCCAGGGCTCCGAAATCTCGGCTCAATTCGATCGTAATTTCGAACCTAGTTTGAATCGGACGATGGGAAACCACAAATCCGTAAGGGCCTCGAATTGAATAGCATGTGATAAAAACTAACCAGGCGGCGTGATCAGTCTCCAGATGTCCTCCCAGTTGCTTGGGCAGGCTCGCGCGCGGCACGTGCACGCCCAGCTGCGGCGCGCTAACCGTGTGTACGCGCTCGCGCAGCTTCTCGCGGACAAACAACCGAAGAATACCAAAAGGCGCTTTGAACCAGAGCGGCGCCGTCACTATAAGCACCTTTTTCAACTTTGCCGGGTAACCGCCCTGCAACAATAGATTTAAATAACGTTAATATAATAATGACGCATAAGCACAGATATATAAGTATACAAGTGGACCTCAAAAATAAATGGTTGAAATGTAGTGAAAAATAATAAAGCGATATCTAGAATGAAATAAGATTGAAAACACATTTTAATGTAATAATACATGACACCAACCCTAAATGTAAGGGTAGCAGGATAATTATGAGCATAATTATATGTAATTTTATATGTACTTTTTTATAAACAAACAAATTTACCTACAATATAATGGCTCTTATTGTTTCTGAAAAGTAAAACCTTTAAGAAGGTACTTAATGTGTTACATATTTTTTTTACTTTATTTAAAATTCAGGAAACAGTTATGAAGAAAACGTTAGTATACCTAGAGATTTTAACTATTCAATTGCAACAATGTCCAACTAACAAAAAATAATTAACAAATAATGATGATGAATGACAGGACACCGAGTGCAATTAACGCGTGATGATATTATTTTGTGAAATATAATTCTAAAGAGTTCAGGGTTAACTAGAATTAATTGTTCAGGTACATAACATAATGTAAGTACTGAACATTATAAAAATCATTCAATTTACTTTAACAAGATTTTTTGAAACCAAATATTTATTCTTTATAATATTAGTTATCTATTTTGTCTAAGTTTACTAAGTTGCCATTTTACATATCAACCAAAATATTTAAAGAGTTTAATTGCAACACACTATTAATTATTTAATTTAAAAAAAGTACCCAGTAAATTTTCAGTAAATAGAAAGCTTTGCTGTGTTTTACATAGGCGACACGACACGGCCGGCGCGGCGGTGACAGAGTGCAGCGAGACACAAATAACATGTTGACTTCGATAAAAATAGAATTACTAGAGGGAAACAACGTTATGTGTATAATATTAATTATATTGCTTATGTTTGTTGTGATGTCTATTTATTTATTTACTTGAGGACTCTATCGTCACCATATATATAAGCAAAAGTAATTAGGTGAGCAGCACACAGACAAAAGTGATGTCTATGAACTAAATGATTGATGATAGATGATATAGAAATATTTGTACGAGCTTTTTTTATAACATCAGATAGTGATATTGGGCATTAACACGGGATACTTTTTTTATTACCAAACTTGCTAACAAATATGACAATTGTAATTTAGGTATAAAAAGAAAAAATTAAAGTTTGGTACAAATTCGAATCTAAGAACAATGATTAATAAAACAAAAGTTAAACATATATTAATTATATTAAACCTATTTCTTTAAAGTATTTGGGTACAAACGACAAAACTTGATAATAAATCCGTATTAGCGAGCAGAGTGGGAGTTCGCCTTATAAATATTCAGGGTCGGCCGCCCTGCAAGCGCTCAGGGGTAAAATGAGCTCTGCTTTAGAGAGGACGCGACATGGAAATCTTACCCACTACACCGCTCCTCGTCACTGTCAAATATTTTTTCATTTACCAAATTAATACGACATGATAGGCTCATTTAACTTTACAGCCAACTCATTGATTATATCTCTTTGTTCGGAACAATAAGTTAAAAACTTTTTACTTCATTTTATTTCAGTAACAAAGGAAAACTGGACTTTATCAATATTATTTATTTAATACACACTTCTTATGAAAGAGACTTTAATGACGTATCGAAAAATAGACAAATAAAGCATGCCGATTTTGCGTGAAATAAATATACCTCTACGATATTATAGCAGTAAATATGTATTAAATTACGAAATATTCAAATTCACACACACACAGCCCTCTACGTACACACTAAAATCTACCATTATAATATTAATGTAATTTGTACGGATTTCCATTTCTTCACATAAAATGGAAGATTAACTTATTTCGCACAGAACAAAGGCGTTCCAATAAATGCTAGACGTTATATTCACGGAAGGAAAGTATACAAACCGCCTTGTATTTTGTTCATTGCTGCGCAAGGAGGTCAACAATGTAGGTTCCTGGCAAATTGGTCAGGTGCGGGGTATAGGACTATTCGCATTCCGAGTAGCACCCCGATTTATATAGATATTATTTTCCGTCGTTAGACGTTCAATACGTAACAGTTATAGAGGTATCGCCGAGTCCCACAATATTAATAAATTGCGAGGTCTGTCCCTTAAAACGTACACGATTTTCAAATTTTCACGACCCCTGCAGACATTAATCAATTGATTTTACTCACGTACTATGACTCAGCATTTTGATTATAGATACTCCCATAAGATATTTGGGTATTGTTCATTACATGATGATGGATGATAATATTCCATTGAAAATATTTAAACAAACAAAAAGCGAAAGTTTTAGCTGATTATTAGTAATAATTTAGAATTTTAAGAAAATTATCCAAAAAGAATTAAAATATGTTTTGCTGATGTTATTATTATAAATATATTTCTTTTTTAAACACAATTACATATATTTTCTCACAACAAATCCATAACATAATGTTGAGAGATTTATTACTCAATTCCTGCTTCAGCGAACCATGTAATGAATACCAAGCACTTCCTTAAATTATTATTAATACATTCTAAAAAGAATTATTTATATCTGCATTGACAATAGTACTGAGAATAAATCACAAATAAATTCCGATAAAGATGTCTGCACTACATTTAATCTTGCGATTCATTAAGGCTTTACATGTCCACATTAATTCAATAGGGTTAACATATCTATGTTCGACTTACACGCGTAATCCTTGGAGAAGGAGTCGAGATATTTCATCGTCGTGATAAACTATTCCCATACCACTTTGTAACAAGAGGAACGTTCGTCTCACAGAGATATGAGAACATACTATTTCTCACAATGCGTGTAAAATATGTAGATTCTAAATAACATTATCGCATATACAAAAGGTGTATATTTAATTATTAGAATACTCAAAGAAAAATAATAAAATTAAACAATTCAAGTTTATGTGAATCATTAAACAACACAAAGACAACAGAATGTTCGTGTTACACGTTACAAAAATCAACACTGATATCATAAAACTTACATTATGTCACGTAATTAATTCTCGCAGTAATTACTGTATTATGTCATTTATATGATCTGACATCAGAATAAGATTTAAATGGATAGAACGACTCAATGAAAATAATAAATCCGAGATCAACAAAGCCTTTTTTGTGAGAATACCCCCAGGACCAGTCCTCCAAAAACAAGTGGAATTTGGTACTTTACGTTCTAAACAACTAATAGAAATACTTAAATACATTTGTTTTAAACAATCAAGCATATCATACTCATGAATACTTTTTAGGGTAAGAATTGTACCTGCGGCCGTCGGAAGTAAAGGGGTGGTGTGCTAAACCGGGACCATTAATCTTGTCTCGCTGTGTAGACTTAATCTTAATTTTTCGTTTTTCAATCAAATGATTAAAACTTATGACAAATTATTATCGAAGAGACTTATAATACGAATTACATCAATAGAATAGAATAGAAAATCATTTATTAAAATAAAGTTAATTTAAGCACTTTTGAATATTAAACAATTTTTTTTTAAACTACCGCTTATTCGGAAAGCTGTCTCATCACAAGAAGAATAAGCAAGAAACTTGTGTGTTGCATTTTAAAACAAACCTTCGATTTACTATATCGGTTATCTTAGAAATCACATGCTTTAATCAAATGTATCTATATAATGCAGTCAGACTAGGTGTGTTAGTTCAATAACAGTACAGTATACCTACGCCCATTTTTTTGATGATCAGAATATTTCAATGGGTATAGGGTGAATGTGAGACTCAGAACGTTAAGAACACCAGGGGTGAGAGGTCATTGCTCCTACACAGCTCCCTACAAGCGTCGCAATTGTTAAATGTCCCTTAAATACTACCTTGATTATATATATACTTCCTAAATATAATCTTTTAAACCTGTATATTTGTATTGTACTACGACTATGTGTCAATGGGTGATTAGATTATGATAGATTACAAATACAAACTCGTAATAGCGATAAAAAAATATAACAATACGTAAATTCTATTTTTTTTATAGTATCAATTCACTATAAGTAGTAGGGATATTATCCAATTTAGAAACACACTTTTAAATTATATACGTATTACTAAATATCCTACACTACATACAACACTTTCATTGATGATTCATAACAAAATTACCATATGGATGGTCTAATCTAATCCAGGAAAATCTATTTATATATTTGTAATAAAAAATAAATTTGTATATTTGTAACATTTTCTTGTCTAAAATTACAAGGATTTCGATGGAATTTTACAGAAGCCTGTGGATAATTGCAAATACCTTCAAAACGTGACCATGGAATAAATTGGAGGTTTTATTCTATACTGGCATATTCTAGTGTCAAAATAAATACGTACTATGCACCTCATATCGTGTGCATAGTTGAGTCTAATACCTACTGGTAAAGTGCGTTGTACTGGGTCTTCCTCGTTGTGTCTGCAGTCTAGACGACACCCGCTGACGTCAAGTCGCAGTTCAAATCTCTAACCGTGTATTTTATAGTTAAAAGACACCTAACAATATACGATAAAACAAAGCATTCTAAATTGATGTGTACGTATTCTAGACGATTCTCTAATATAATATTCTATACACCTAATTGGGAAACCACTTGCTACCGTAAATATAGAAGTTTAGTTAATAGTAACCTATTTAATACTTTGTAATCATGTGAAAATTGAAAGCATATACTGCTAACACATAATCACAATAACATCTTTTTTTTTAGATTTATACAGCTACAGCTACTTTATTATATGTAATACATGATGGCAGAATAGTAGAAAAAACTTAATAATATGGTGGCCTTTAAATTGACCTACAAACAATTAATTTATTAATTTAATTTATTTTATCAACGAATTCGATAAATTAGCATCGTTCATATCAACAAGACTCAATGTATGGTTGCCTTTATTTTACGGTAACAGGACCCGAGCGAGTGACCCCAGAGAGTGAATACGTCT